GTTTTGTATCAGTAACTTTCATAATGTTAAAACACTGGTGTTGAAATAATGGGTAACACATAGTAATATTATTAAAATAATGTGTGCATAATCTTAATTTTTTTTCTTTTCTTAAACTTTCAAATAATTTTGTTTTTAGATTTTTTTGGATTAAAACTTAAAAACATTTGATTCAGATGTACATTTATCAAATATCATGGTGTAAAATTACATTTTTACATGTGATATGCTATAGAGTTCAGGCATCATTCTCTGTGTGATTTGTTGTACAATTTATTAATAAATTTGCCTTTAATTTTTTACTTTTTATGTGTAAAAATTTATATCTCTTAAATATTTAAAGTAATAGTATTATAACACTTTCAAATTTTCTTTTATACTTCCATAAAATTCAAATCTAATATTTAGAATAAAATGGTATGTTTCAAATTCTCACCTTATTATCTTATCTTTCAGTGAGATAGTTTAATATCTTTTCGTGAAATAATATATTTTCTTTCCTTTTAGTCCTCAGTTTCTTAACAATCATTTAACACTCAAATCATTTAGTCTTTTTTTTAATCGTTTATCTATATTTTTATTTATTTATTTTTATATTTATATTTATTTTACATATTTACAATTTTTAGATTGAATATGTAAACATTTATCATTATCAAATAAATATATTGTTCTCAAATAAAATATATTTATTGTTGTACTTTGTATTTAAAATATTCAAATATTCAAATATTCAAATAATTTTGAATGTATGATTTTTAGTTTTTAATTTATTTTTCGTATTTATGTATTTAAAAATTTTAATAGTTATAAGTAATAATTAATATACATAAACATAAATTAAATGAATTATTAAAATAAATTTTATCATAAAAAAAATATTTCGTTTATGTGGACATGTTAGATGGAAAGAAAATTTTAGAGAAATTTCAAAAAATGCCAACTTTTAAGTGCCACTTTACAAAAATGCCACCTTTTTACAATTTTTACAAAATGCTAGTTTTTAAAAATTATTTCTTAATTATATCATTTATGTTTGGGTTAACTATGTTGTATCAGGGTTTAGTTTTGAGGATTTTAGGGGTCAAAATTTTT